AATATTAAAATGACGGAACTTATAGTCTCTAAGCCTTACACCACCTGCACGCTAAAAATTAGGGACAAACCAAACTACTTTTGGTTAGAAGTACGATTAGTATGACAATGGCACTTGTGAACTTTATATTAAATTTAACATTTTTATCGGAAGACTTGGAATGGTGGTCAGTCAGATAACCAGCCATGAAGATTTGTGCTTTTTATTTTAGGCTAAAAAATGTAAAATTCCAGAACATTAGACAATAAAATACAAAGACTTGGACGTATTTCTAAGGACTTCAATGGACAAAGGAAATGAAGTGTCAATGACACTGGTAGGCTCACCACAAAAAACGGCCCACAATGAGTGAGCTACAGAAGAAGTCACGCCCTTTTAACTGTCGACGCAACCATCCTGTATATCCAAGGGTGCGATCCAGAGGGGGTCGAGGGGTCCGGACCCCCCTTTTATACCACAAAAAAAGAAAACAAAGCTACACACACGGCGCACGGCACCGCACGTGACGCGCGCAACACACACACCACACACTAGCAATCACACACCAAAACACCTGAACTTCAACATTTTTGCCAAAAAATTGCCGGTGGCTCGAAAGTCACGTCGACTGGCGGTCTTCAAAATAGTGTGTTAATATGGAGCCTAGCAGTAAGAACACTATCACCAATTTCAAACATGTGCCAAACGGTTCCTGAGTTATCGTTGACCGTGCGAAATGCGTTGACGGACGGAACAGGACGGCGGACGGACGACCGGACGGACGTTACGACGACGACGACCCATTCGGCAATAGCTAAACTTGACGGATGCTTCAAGGTGGGACTAAAAATTAAGACTTCAAGGGACAGAAGAGCAAAATTCAAGGACTCTTCAAGAGCTGTGGTGAGCCTGTGATCTGCTATTGTTCCGTAGTACAGACGTTGCTGAGGTAAATGAAAGCATTACAGAGTAATAAATAGAAACTCTTTGACACGAACGGCATAACCAAAAAGGACACATGACTTTTATTTGGAACTAAAATGGTTTCATAATATATTCTTTCACCTTTCCGAATCATACAGTTCCGTATCACTGACTCGCCGCTCCTTTTATCCATAACGTAGTCTCACTAATGATCCTCACTATTATAGCATGTATATACCAAAGCTTGGCGCTGTCACAACAAAAGCACTAGCCAACCGCACAGCGACAAACCATCACAACGACGAGAGGCGAACAAGGACCGGCGGCTACGCTCCGAGTGTTGACCCCTTGACCTCCATGACGCCAGTAGAGTCGCCACAGGCAAGAAGCCAGCGGTATGTCGGCGTTGCGGTATGTTTGTATATTAACGCCCTTCTCGGCTCCCCAGATGGCGCTGTCCGCGACGGCTGAGCGCTCCGCAGAACGGCAAATATCGGACGCGTTTAGACGTGAGTGAAATTCGAACAATCTCCGAACTTACGGTTCTGCCTATCAACAGCACCACACACACCACACGTGCAGGCAGCACCACACACACTCACACACCGTCACACTACTCACACACTCACAAACACTCACACAATACACACACACACACACCGCCAACACACACCACACACACACACAACACACACACACTCACTGCATACACCCCAGCACGCACGTGCACAGACACGCAACACACACGCACACGGATTTAGACACAGGGCCACGATACGTCACGAACGCACGTACGACAACAATGCTGCCGGGGGTGCGAACCAAGGCGTAATCTCTGCAGTATCCTGGCACCCGCGAGACACAACTACATCGTCTCTCTCGTTGTCTTGCTCGCTATTAATGACATGGTTAGCGTAAAAACTAACATTCAGAATAAGAAATAAACTTTAGTGATAAAAATGTCTACACAATATCAGTACGATCCGACGGTGCGCGCCGCACTGTGCACGGCGAGAAAACAATGCTGTGCCATGTGCATACCTCCATCAGCCTGGTAAATCACTTGTGCTTGATTACGAAGATGTAGCGAATAATATATAACAACATCTATAATTTCTCACAGAACTGGATCAACAATGAGTTTTTCGGTGTTGTCTGGCTATCGAGCTAACATGCTTCATCGTCATCAATTGTAGACCGATCCCCTGATCGCCACTTACTGTTCCAGTCTATACGGGTGCCTAATCACCTTGCCATGCCCGTCAGTACTTCTCACTACCTGCCAATAACGCAATAACCACCCGCCAATGTACAGCGATGGAAGCGCTCAGGCCGCATTTCTCACATACGTTGACTATCACTGAGGAGCCATCTAGCGAGCCAACGCGGTCCACAGCGGGCAGCAGTCTAGCTAGATCTAGATAGTCCAATTCAACATCTCCGCGGTGCATTTATAACATCGCGAAATCAGGCAATCAAAACAAGTTCGACATTCGCTTCTGCGTTTGTAAATCGCAGCTATTTGAACTCAGGTATTAC